ATTATCTAGTATACATCACCGCACTTACCAGTAATGACCATATCTCTAGTACACAACACCACACCATCCAGTTATTAATACATATCAATGCAACATTCAGTGTGTTAAGTTGATAATGTGCCTCAAATTGAGTAAATCTTTCCGGACTTTATAACCGTCTATATATTAAATATTTTGTCTTCACAGCATCCTCCTTCAGGATCGAACAACACGAGTAACTGGACCATCTGTAAAATGTGTCTTGGTCTTGGAGAGGTCCGTTACATTGCACTTTTTTCAGTAATGAGATGGACGTAAGTGTTTGTAATGCTTTAACTGTGTTTGCTTCACTTAAAATTATCAAAGCGTTACCGTATTATTGTGTTTTTTGTAATTTTCTTTTTATTCAAGATTGTTTTGCAATATATGGTATAGTTACATTCAAACAATTCATATTATATATTCATACCTCACACGACTCATATATACTCTTACTTACATCAGTTGATATATTAGACTCAAGTAGATGTTATGGTACCCATGTACACATATATTGCCTTTATGAGAACAGAGAGAGAGAGAGAGAGAATTACCGTAATGGATAACAGGAAATATTATTTGCATTAGGTATGCATGAAAATGATCGGATATAAAGAGTTGTGAGGTAGGAACTCAACACAGTTGTGGAACGTTTTGTTTACAACATTTAGGTATGCTATCAAAACTTAAGCGAAACTACCAAACAGTTTCCAATAATGAATAGATATATTCGCGTAAGTAATGATTGTTTAACAATAATTCACTATATATTCTGAATATCATTAGGACTGTCAATTATTTAACTAATGACGATATCTTCTATCAACAGGGCAGCCATCTTTAGTCTGCCCGCAGGCTTCATCATCGATAGAATAGGTAACAGCCGTAAGTAAATCAAGTATATTGTGAAAAGTTTATTCGGTTTAAATTATAAAGTGTATGAGATTATTTCCAAAAGTAACAGATTGGGCTCAGAAACCAAACTAGATTTACTTCCATATATGTGTATTAACCTACATGTACATGTCTTTGTTATATCAAATTAAGCACATTGAAACATATATATCTGAGACTGAATTTTGCATTGATAGAAAAGCTTTCTTCAGATGTAATTGTTTGGAGTATCTCTGTTTATACGTGCAGCCATTGTCAAAGCTTCAGCAAAGGGCAATAGCTAAATATTACCGTGTTTTTAGCATCAATTCCAAAGAAATTTAAGTAATTAACTTAACATATAACTATCATGCATAAACATGACGTTTCAGTTTCGTACAGTTAATGCCAAGGACAAACGAAAGGAGCAAACATAAGACAATGGCAAATAATTGAGAGTTCGAACAATACTTCTTGGAAAGTACTTGTCGAGGTATATCCATTGATATGCTTTACTTCTCTGTGCTTGATTATTCTAGGTTCTGCAATTCTTCTGAGCCTAATGCCGTTGCTTGGGTCAGTCCTTTTCGCAATTGGAGCGATGACACAAAGCCCGATTACTCTACCCATGTACCTATTGATGGTTGCTGGGCGGGTCATACTGGCCGTTGGGGATGGGCCACTTAGAGGTAAATGTGTATACCCAGTGTGCGCAAAATCTATATTTGAATTGTTTGCTAAATTCTGATGAAACATCTTATCTAAAATTACCATTAAAGGCATTTTTGACATCAACATGTACTTGTATCAATTAAAAGTTTAAAATGAATACAATGACACGGAGACACAGAACATAGCACATTAAAATTAGTTTGGCTCATGCCGCTTGTAATAATGTTAAAACGTGTATTCGACATCAAATACACCACTTAAGACATATACATTTCTGTTTTTAAAATGCATGCTACCCTTTCTTTAGTACTTCAGGCCAGAGTGGTTGCCCATTGTTTCCCAGGAGCAACTCTTGTACCCGTGGCGTTTGGTACAGTCGGACTTGTGGGACAAAGTTTAGGTTATTGTGTAACACCTAACATAGCGGCAGCAGTTGGGTTACGCGTCTCTATTTGGTTAGGTAGGAACGAAAAGAACTTAAGTATATAATTGATAAATCGTAATGACTAGATTATTTGATTTTATATACCCTCATAGTTGACATTGATTGGGCCCCCATGAAATAAATTAGAAATTTTGTGGATGTATTCATGATATAATGCGATAACTGAAGGTCACACGAGAGAAGACATTGGGCAATTCATAACGTGGTGTAGCAACGCTCACATTCCAGAAGCATATGCGTTTTTACTCTCAGTTTTGCTGGGGGTTTGTAATATCATATTTCATTGAAGCACTTGCTTGACATTTTTATATAGGAGCTGTTGTCTGTGGATTTAGTTGTATGTGTGCAGTTGGTCTCGTACTGCTTCTTCAAAAGCAAAAACCCTTGGAAGCAGATGATTATGAAAAAAACACAATTCCAGTGATTTGCATTTTTTACACAATCGCTTGACGCTATTCTATAATAAAGAAATAAGCTGATGGTTTTCTTGTTTGGGTAATTGAAATATCCAAAATTAAAAACTTTCGTGTTTTAGATACTTAAAGACATACATGCCCTGCCGACGAATTTTTGGCTGTTTATATGGACAATGGCGTGTATCCAGGTCCCTTGGATCTGCAAACAAACCAATTTACCGTAAGTATCCGTACTTTTCGCTAAATTATTTTCTCTTTCATTTTTTGTATTACTAGAAACTCATACAATAACATCATCAGTATATTTCGATGTATCAGCAGAGCGGAGCTACATATGTAACTGTAGTCTACGCCGGCACTTTCTCAAGTGTGTAAAGGAAAGTAAACGATCAATGGTGTCCGCTTCTGTTCACTGCACTGCATAACGTAGCATATTGCGGGATAACTATGGAAAGTATTCATCTTTTTTATCTTTGACCTTCTTCGTCTTACCTGATAAAAAATAACAGAGATCAGCGAAAACAAATTTCGTAGGCATACAACAAGTAACATCACTGCTATTCCATAAAACACATTGTTAAAATATGCTAAAGTGAGAATAGAGATGATTGAATGATGTTGATTTTACGGAATCTTACTTTATCAAACAAAATTTTGATTTTGAAATGGATCTAGGCTAAGGATTCTTACTCATTAAGCTGACATCCTGATGTTTTCATTGTATATGATAACTCACAACTCGAGTATGATTTTCAACAATGCTGTGAAACAGCAAGTAGTACGTCACAGCAACTTGTTTTAAAGTGTTCATGGCTATTCAAAAGAAGGTATAAACATCTTGTAGATACGCTAAAGTCAGTAATTTGTACATTCTTTTGACGAGTTGTTTTGTAATTTAAAACTTAGAGGCACATGATGCTAGTTTGATTTGAGTTAGTATAGAAAACCATTCAAATCGTTATATGAATTGAAGAAAGATTGTTAAAAATTCAATATATGATCATTACATGATACCACTTTTATTTCAGAAGGACAAACGTATAGAACATATTATTATTAAAATTCTACACTTCTATCCGCTGGATGCTGACCATTTCGGAGACCTTGAAGATTTTTTCCATTTATTGATATAAGTTGTCAATACAATTGTTTCCATCAGCAAACACAAAGATATTCTCAGATCAAAATTCTTCATATCTATATCAATCTTGACGTATACCTGCTGAAATACACTTACAACCTGAACCGCATTCCCAGCAGGAGACACGTCCATGCTGTAAAGTCATCGGTCCAATGGTGTGAAGGTAGTTGATAACTTACATTACACGCTTGATGGCCCGTGGTATACGGCATCATTACAACCAACAACCGAGCGTGTTGTCACGACTAGACAAGAAGTAAAATCACTATTGTACTTTTCATCTTTGCTTTTATTTAAATATTTAATGAATTCTTATGAATAGGTATAAAGAAGGTAGATTTGTTAGCTTGCTTTTTGTAAGTAAATAGGAAAGAAAATACCCGTGGCGAAACAGCTGATCGCCAAATGTAAACAAGATCACGTGTACGTGAAGGTACACTTGTTTTACCTAGATTTGTTTAAGTTGTACAGTGATGGGACCTGAATAGACCTCGCTGGTAGGGGGCTCCTCAACCCTTGGAAAACTCAGGATCCCTATCATTGTCAACACAATTTTTTATGTTTACAACAATTGTTATCCTGTTAAAAAATAACCACGGCAAAATAGCCGATCACCAGTTGTAAACAAGATCACACGTGCAAGACGAGTCGAGTGTATGTGTAAACTAGCTCAGACATTAACAAATCAACACAAAACATTACTGACATCTCGTGAAATACATCAATATAACTGATAAATATGAAACAATTTAATCGACAAACAACACACAAACAGACAGTGTAGTAGTACTCGACTAGCTAGTATGCACACGTGCTCAGCCCTAGTACGTTATGCCTGCATTAACAGTTACCTGACTACAACAGATACGCATACAGTATATAAACAAATGGAATTTGTGAATATAAACACTCACCTGCTTTTGACATAACCCAAGACAATGACTTGCACTGCAGCCTGACAGCACGGCATTCACGGGGAATAACAGATATATACTCAGGAGCGGGATCAATGAAAATGTAAATTCCTAAATCGAAATAAAATAATCTATCCGTCCGGACAAGCAACTGATGCTATGATATTCAAATACAATAAAACTAAAGTATATTAGATAAATACGTCTAGATCTGTGATATAGATGTATCTCAATGTATGGTTATACTTTTTTTCAAATACTTAAGTAAAATTAACAGTATCATACCAACATAAGTATCTCAATAGATGTATATGTCTATGTCGGTAGGGATCGACCACTAAGACTGCACATATGTAACTGTTCATCGATACAATGATTATCAAATTATCTAAATATACGGGTAAATGTTTAAGAGGAGTCCCATTGAAAAAACAGCCGTTCAAACTAATAGCAACTGCTGTATTTTTGGTCACATGTACTAAAATTAACAAAATCAAATTTGGAATTATATGGTTATGAAGCATTTTTTATCATGCTTTGTGAAAACCCGACCAGGTGATACTTACCGATGAATAAAATGTAAGAATGCTTTAATCCCGGTTGAATACATTGTATATCTTTGTTTAATTCATTATCAAGATTTTAGTAGGTATAATCTTTTGGAAATATTCCGTGACTTGCTTTCGTTTTCGTGTATATATTGATATATATAAAAAAAAAAAATGAAATTGTTAACTTATTAATTTACTGTACACGCAAATGTTATGTTATTTTCATGCTTTATA